GGTGTTTGTTACAGGGCCAGAGACAGACTCTGTTTAACAGGAATTGCCCTGAATACAGAGAAGGAAACACCATGAAGGTGAAAAGGTTTCTATCAATTCAATGCTGAGCTGTTCATGGAGTGGGAGAGGTGATGGACAGAGGGGACCATCGGACCATCTCCTCTGCCCCACTTCCCTGTACCAGGTGGACCAGAGAGCCCACCCCAGGGGATCTGAATGACTTTGCCTGGGAATTGGCCATTCAAATCCCTTCGGTGGCTGGGCCAGACTCAGGCTCGGAGATATTGTGGCCAAGGGCTGGGCTGGATTCTCTGTCCCTGGTGAGGTGTGACTCAAGGTGGGATTGTATCCAACAGCTCTGCTCTAGTTTGAACCAGGATTAACTCAGGGATGTCCCCGGGCCAGGGCTGCACTAGGGTCAGACGGGACAAGCACCATGGCCCCTTCTGGCCTTGGAATGGATGAGTCTATCGAAGGAATGTGGCTCACTTATTCTAGTGGGTCAGGGTGAAGGGACCCAGGGTGTCTGAGAGCAGCTCTGGGAATCTCTCTCATGCCTCTGGCTCAGACAAATCTGGCCTTTAGCCAGACAGGGATCAGCAACACGGCACCTCCCAGTACTGGGGAGCCCTGGCCAGCACTGCCCCTGTTACGAGACAGAGAGAGCCAGATGAAGGGGCGTGTGGAGACACACAGATCAATTCCATCTGCATCTGCTCCACAGCCACTGCATTTGGGGGTGGGGATGGGGTGAATGTAATTCCAGACCTGCAGGTGTTGCAGCCCCACCCCCTGTAACCAGAGAGCTGCCTTACCCTGGTGGACCCAGAGCCTGCCCTAGATGACACAGGTCAGGAGGCAGTTCAGTGCTGGAGACATTTGTGTCAGATCCCTGATTGCAAAGGACACAAGATGGGAGTTGAAATTAACAACCAGTGTGGTGGAGGAGCTGGGGGCCGCAGTGCCCAAGACTGCCTGACTGAGCTGCTGTGAGTTGTGGGGAAGCAGTGTGACATAGTAGCCAGACCACAGGCCTGCCCCTCTGGATGCCAGGGTTCTGTTCCCAGCTCTGCTGCTGGGTGACCATGGGCAAGTCCTGACACTGCTCTGTGCCTCAGTTTCCCCATCTGAGGCTAATGATTCTGACCCTCCTTTGTAAAATGCTTTGAGATCTCCTGGAGGAGATCTAGGGCTCAGATACTCAGAGGTAAGGGGAAAACAATGAGGTGGCAAAGTTTGCAGACGATACTAAACTGCTCAAGATAGTTAAGACCAAAGCAGACTGTGAAGAACTTCAAAAAGATCTCACAAAACTAAGTGATTGGGCAACAAAATGGCAAATGAATTTTAATGTGCATAAATGTAAAGTAATGCACATTGGAAAAAATAACCCCAACTATACATACTATATGATGGGGGCTAATTTAGCTACAACTAATCAGGGAAGAGATTTTGGAGTCATCATGGATAGTTCTCTGAAGATGTCCACGCAGCATGAAGTGGCGGTCAAAAAAGCAAACAGGATGTTAGGAATCATTAAAAAAGGGATAGAGAATAAGATGGAGAACATCTTATTGTCCTTATATAAATCCGTGGTACATCCACAACTTGAATACTGCGTATAGATGTGGTCTCCTCATCTCAAAAAAGATATACTGGCATTAGAAAAGGTTCAGAGAAGGGCAACTAAAATGATTAGGGGTTTGGAATGGGTCCCATATGAGGAGAGATTAAAGAGGTTAGGACTTTTCAGCTTTGAAAAAAGGAGACTAAGGGGGGATATGATAGAGGTATATAAAATCATGAGTGGTGTGGAGAAAGTGAATAAGGAAAAGTTATTTACTTGTCCCCATAATATAAGAACTAGGGGCTACCAAATGAAATTAATGGGCAGCAGGTTTAAAACAAATAAAAGGAAGTTCTTCTTCACACAGCACACAGTCAACCTGTGGAACTCCTTGCCTGAGGAGGTTGTGAAGGCTAGGACTATAACAGCGTTTAAAAGAGAATTAGATAAATTCATGGAGGTTAAGTCCATTAATGGCTATTAACCAGGATGGGTAAGGAATGGTGTTCCTAGCCTCTGTTTGTCAGAGGATGGAGATGGATGGCAGGAGAGAGATCACTTGAGACCTATTAGGTTCACTCCTTCTGGGGCACCTGGCATTGGCCACTGTCGGCAGACAGGATAATGGGCTGGATGGACCTTCGGTCTGATGTTCTGATGTAGGTATTAAGGCTCCTGTTGATTTCAGTGGGAGTTAGGCACCTAAACAACTCTGAGGATCCAGACATTGATGTTTTTATTTAGCACTGATTTTGTTTATGGCTCAGCCCAGCTTCCCTTCATCCTGCCCATGCATTATCCTGCCCCAACCCTGGATCATTCACACGCGCAACGTCCAATCTACAGGCCAGTGGTGGAAAAGGTACTGCAAATTGTTCAGAGAAAATGTTTTTTAAGCAGAACAATGGCTTTTTCCCCCGCTCAAGTGCCATTTGTTTTTCAGACAAGCATCTGTTTTTGCTATTTTCCAAATACACCTCTACCCCGATATAATGCTCTCCTCGGGAGCCAAAAAATGTTACTGCGTTATAGGTGAAACAGCGTTATATCAAACTTGCTTTGATCTGCCGGAGTGCGCAGCCTCGACCCCCCAAAGCGCTGCTTTACCGTGTTATATCTGAATTCATGTTATATCGGGTCGTGTTATATCGGGGTAGAGGTGTAGTTGGTGTGACGTTGTACTCCATATGTTTTATGGAAT